TGGAGTGACAAGTGATCACCGCTGCTTTTCCTTGTCAGAGCCAACAATACACTTTGTTCTGCGGCCTTGGGAGTAGTGTTGGAGTAGAAATTGCTGAGGAGACGTCGCGGAGGGGCGAGCTTTCCTGCGCAGGTATGACTTTGGCCGTATTTCAGCATGGTCGAGTGGAAAAATTCAAAAAAGTATATTTCAAGAAAACCCCAAAAGGAAGATGGGGGACATGTCCTCAGCGCTAGAAGAGGTGTTCTACTATCTGCCGGTGTATAGTTCTGGCCAATTGAGGACGTAGCTGGCTGTTTTGCCAGCGCTTGTAAATTGGCTATTTTCAAGACGATCATTTGTGGCGTCAGGGGGTGATGGACCTCGTCTTCTGGGATCCTGGCGTGGCTAAGCGGTACCGCTCCAGGAACTCTTCTAAGGTGAGGCAATGTTGGCTTGATGGAGTTTTGTTCATAGCTTGTTCGTATACGCTGTGGCGTGACTCGTTTCTAGACCCATAAATAATGTGATATTTCGGCCATTTCTGAGGGGTATCCAAATTTCAAGGTTCCCTTCAGAAACTTTTTCAAGGGCTTTGCACGATCGATCCACACCCCAAAGGGAACCTACCTTCAAATTTTGAGCGAAATCGGAGAGATCCACTTGCACACATACTTTGGTATTCTCAGACATGCTCTCTTAACACTTCCCAGTAAGATCACTAACTCCTTTGTTTACCCTCAGAAGTAACCTGGCACACTTCCACTTTTCGCTCACTTTTGAATGTCGCCCGTTTTTGTCCTTCCTATGTATCGACTTAGACTCATATTTTCATGAATTATTCTGCATGGCTTGAATCATGGGTTTATTGTCAGCTTCTAATTTACCTTTCCAGCAAATGTCACTTCTCTGAATCTCTCTTCTGCTGCCACACACGCTTAGCTATATCTGACCATTTCACTACCTCATGTAATCACAGGGGAGACTAAGTCTTCCTTACTTCACCCCTATTATTTTTATTCATTGTAATGTTCAGGCATTGGTGCAGTGCCAAAGAAGAATGGAAAGATGCGCATGATTCACCACAAGTCCAGGCCACTTGGGAATAGTTTCAATGACGGTATGCTTATGGCTGGTATATGGTATCATTCAGCACACTGACTTACTTCGGATATCAACATTACTGCCACCATCCAGTGCGACTCTTTTTCTCAGCACAGCCTCGAGTCCCTTATGGTGAAGCTCTCCTCTGCAGCACGTTGGGTTGTCCCGGGGGCCGTAAGTTTCCACAATGTCTCTGGTCTTGTTGCAGCAGGTATCAAAAGCCTCTCAACAAGATACAGTAAAATCTGACCTAACCGGACACCCTTGCTGCAGCGAAAACCGTCATGATATATCAGAATTCCGCTTGATCCAGGGATGCACGTTTGATCCACAGTACTTTGGTGCAGAAACATCAAGTCAATACAATATTCTGTTTCAGACAAGGTTGGGCAAATACAGGTTGTACTGTAGCTCTTAACTCTAATGATATGGAAGATATCAGGTGGTGGCAGCATCTGCTGCAATACTGGAATGGTAAATCATTCTTCCTGCATTCCGACTGTCCTCCATTACCAAATCTACAACTATAATAATATATAGATGCAAGTGGTTCTCGTGTCTGGGGAGTCTACAGGAACGTCTGTCTGGTGTATCAATGGCACGTGGACTAGTGAAGAAGTAGAAAGAGAGACATCATGTGGCATGCGCCGTATGCCTTGCCAATTGTTTTCACCACCTGGTACCATGATGAGGCAAAGCTATGTATCCTCGTTCACTGCACTAATGAAGTAGTTATAGATTATGTAAAGTCGGACTGTAGCAAATCATCTCCAGCTATGCAACTACTCCTCATTGGCAGAAAGCAGACCTTTATGAGAACGAAGAGAAATGAAAATACAGTTGAAACGATAGGAATGAACATTTGTCTCTGCCAAACACAACTTTACTATTCAGCCACCCAAATGTCATGGAGAAGGAACTAGACTGCCGAGTCTTTGTCACGTTTCTTTAGAAAGGCATCTTGGTAGCTCACTCCGGTGCGAAGAACCTACCAGGCGATGTGATCTTGCCCCGATACATGGGGAAGTAAGCTAGTTTGCGGGATGTGTTATATCTTCTAATGCATGACACACCTATTCGACTGGTAATATACACACGCTCCCGCGCGCACACCTGGGCATACAAAAATGTTCCAACGCATGTGTAGTCACAAGCAATTGACACGTTGTGTTAGGGGTTGCGATCACTTCCTTTTGGATAAGGATATTAGAAGAATATGCTGAATGCAGTTCACAAGTTCGAGGGGAAGTTGTGAACGGAAAAGCGGTTAGCAGTATAATACGTTTGACATAATAGTATTTGATTATAGACTGGCTCTAAGGAAGCAATCGATAACCGTTGCACCATGATATCATCACATAATTATTATGATCTTCAGTGATTCCCACCGCCCACAGCCCACCGAGAGCCGACACACAAATGGCCCCAAAGGGCTGGCCCACGGCTGTCCACCATGGTCCAATCACACGAGCGGCCATAGAGGCCGACAGGCAGCCCACCAAGCACTAAAATAATGATCCTGTCAGCACCGGGCTGCTAGCTTACTGCCCACCAAGGGTGCACAAATGGCCGACGCTGCCAGCAATCTGCCCACCAAGGGTGCATGGACGGCCTTTGAGGCCAACAACCTGCCCACCGACAGCTGAAGCCACCTGCACACCGGATACGAATACGTATACCCCATCGAGGGCTGAAGCAAACTGCCCACCTTGAGCTAAAACATTCACGCTACCGAGGGCTGAAGCAAACTGCCCACCTAGAGGTAAAACATTCACCACACCGAGGCCTGAAGCAAACTGCCCACCAGGAGCTAACACATACACCCCACCGAGGCCTGAAGCAAACTGCTTACGGGGGCTAACATGTACACGCCATTGAGGGCTAAAGTCGAACTTTTGGAATCGCTGTTTTCTGTGTTCGAACATTAGAGCCACCCTTTCCGAGCAATGGCAAGTTGTTACTGATGCCATGGTGGTCTCAGACGTTGTCCAAGCCCTCTTCCGCACCAAATATATTCATCGCGCTCCGCACTATTCTGCCCCAGAGCACGTATCGTTTTTCTGGAGTTCTTGCCCTTCGACATAGTTTGCGTGGGCATTTATCAAGACTGCAAGCTCGGGTATAAGAATCCGGGTATCTCTCCTGAATTCGAAATGCTGAAGTTGACGATGGCAAGAACAAATTGTTCTCAATTTCGTAAAAAGAACACGACGTGTGCCGCATGATGCTGTGAGGGCAGCATGCCTGAAAACATCAACAAAATCAGCGAAGCGCTTGCCAAGAAAAGAAGGTGCGGAACTGCTTACCCAATCCCGCTGGAAGGTCATGTCAGTGTACTCGAAAAATTATAGTTTTCATGTCATCGCCTGCCACCTGGAGTCATGGATGGCTTGAAAACGAAGTTTCATGACCTGAATTTGAACGTGCGTCTTGTTCAGCGTATCGCTTAGTACTGAAGGGTCTGCCTCCAACTCTGATGAAGACATCGACCTTAGCTGCAAGTGCAGCAAAAACGGGAGGCCAAAACTAAAGCTTGGTCTGTCGACAATGCTCTGCCTCAATTTCTAGCTGATTTCTTTTCACGTTGAGCGGACAAAATAAATTTGAAAAATCGCTCTGGGAATCAACAATTTTAATGATGTGGAGGAAGTACATTCCATTGAGGGCTGAAGCAACCAGCTCACCAAGAGCTATCACATACATCCCATTGAGGGATGAAGTATACTGCCCCCCCCCCCTCCCCCCCCCAGGTGTAGCACATACACCCACCAAGCGCTGAAGCATACTGCTTGCTGTGAGACGATCATGTACCGCCCACCAACGGCTGATGTGTAATGCCTGTACGGACTATTGAGAGCCAAGGAATAGCTGCTGACACCCACGACCTTCCCACCAAGGGCTAAAGAATACGGGCCCTAGGCGCCAATCTCGTACCGCCCAGCGTGTGCAAACGAACGACCAACGGGGCCAAGAATTCTCCCACCTAGGGCTGACATAACTACCTGGCATGAGGAGTCACACCACACACCTACGACACTCCGGATGACCGCTTGCATCCCCACCTCCATTCGGGAAGAAAACAAGGTTGCAAATAAAGGAAAGAGCAGAGACAAACAAAATAGAGACGGTGGAATGGTGGGAAAAGGAATACATAATTTCAGCAAATCCAGAAAGAAACTAAAATTTAGGACAGCTCCGCCATGTCCAGACAGGTTTCGAGAAATTCAAGACAAATCTGTCGAATTGAAATCATAAAAATGCCCGTAAAAATTGGCCAACTTCGCTTTTCTCGACAACCGGTGGCATGGCCAAGCAATCTGCCTCGCTTTACAAGCGTATTGCATCCCTCATTGCTGAGAAAAGCAGCGAACCATAATTATTCGGTTGTCATGGCATTAATCCGCTGCCGCCTTAGCTTTGCTTTGCTCTGAGCAAGTGCTATGTGCCTGCATGGTAACTGCTCTGTTTTCGCTGTGCATGCACCTGTCTCTTCTTCTGCCTCTCTAGTTGTTGCCGAAGCTGGCACTTCCCGTCATTAATATTGTAGTCTTTAGTTCTTTAATATCAGTATTTGTCATGGCGACTCCATTTCACACTTTGTAGCACGATTTCAAAATTTAAAAAAGTTAAAATTGGCCAACTTGTAAACTGTGCAGGGACAGCAATATGACATATACTCACAGCACCAGCACTGTGCCTATAATACCCATGTGCGTGGGCAACTAAGCTTTCCTGTGCAAAGCCCACATCTTTTGTAATTCCTGCAATTCTTGCATGAGTAACTGAGCTTATGTATGATACAGACATACTGTATCATTCTGTACTGGGAAACGTTTAAAATGTTAAAATGACTTTTTGTCCATGCTGTTCTTTTCTGTTGGTGTATTGTGTTGTGATGTACATGTATGTACCTGTAGGTCACCACACTGGATGGTACATACATACGGGATATAGGCAAACAGGGCAGTGGTAATACTGAATTCAACACCCCCACTGATGTAGCTGTGGATGACGATGGTGATCTTGTGGTGGTTGACAGGGACAATAAGAGACTGCAGGTAAGATACTTGATTGATTAGTGTGGTTCCACTTCTGTTTAATTACACAATGTTGACTGGAAGTTCTGTACAGATAGCAGTCTTCCATTGTTCACATAGTACTAGAGTGTACAGTATGATCATAGTACTAGAGTGTACAGTATGATCATAGTACTAGAGTGTACAGTATGATCATAGTACTAGAGTGTACAGTATGATCATAGTACTAGAGTGTACAGTATGATCATAGTACTAGAGTGTACAGTATGATCATAGTACTAGAGTGTACAGTATGATCATAGTACTAGAGTGTACAGTATGATCATAGTACTAGAGTGTACAGTATGATCATAGTACTAGAGTGTACAGTATGATCATAGTACTAGAGTGTACAGTATGATCATAGTACTAGAGTGTACAGTATGATCATAGTACTAGAGTGTACAGTATGATCATAGTACTAGAGTGTACAGTATGATCATAGTACTAGAGTGTACAGTATGATCATAGTACTAGAGTGTACAGTATGATCATAGTACTAGAGTGTACAGTATGATCATAGTACTAGAGTGTACAGTATGATCATAGTACTAGAGTGTACAGTATGATCATAGTACTAGAGTGTACAGTATGATCATAGTACTAGAGTGTACAGTATGATCAAGGGTAAATAAGCTACCAAGAGTGTGCAACTCTTCATACTCTTCCTATGGGGTCATGCAATGGCAAAAACTCATATCACTGGTTTTGGAGTCTGGGCGCTTTGCTTGAGTGCTTAGTCTGGCTTAGTCTGAGTTAATCTGAGTGGTCAGTCTGCGCGCGTAGCCTGGGTGGTCAGCATCAGCGGCGTCGGAACCGGTGCGGCTGGTGTGGCCAAAGCGGCACCAATAATTTTCCAAGTCGAAATTCTAAAAATCTATTCTACATTTTTGCAGGCCTGAAAAGGTATGAGGTATCTCATGCATGCATAAACAAAGTATGGTGCGCTGTGTGAACCTTTGCACCAGAGCATGGACAGAGGTGGCAAATTTCTGTAATCATGTACCGTGGTAGCAGTTTATTGTTCTGACTCGAAGAGATGGAAGGTTACCATGGTTACCCCGAAATAGGAGATGCTCTTTTCCAAACCAGGTCACATGACTAGCCCAAGCGAGCCTTTAGGGTTAGCCAAGTTGTGTTGCATGCATTCTTGCCATCTTGGTATGACAGTTATCCCTGGTTGCATTGGGATATGAAGCGTAAACGAGTATTTTGCTTCACGTGCGTAAAGGCAGGTTAAGGAAAGCTCCTCTTCAATACGAAGACCGATGCTGCGTTTATTTCAACTGGCTTTCAAAACTGGAAGTATGGTCCGGGAGGATTCTCGAAATATCAGTCCAGCGACTGTCACAAGGAGGCTGTTGGAAAATTGGAGACAACTCCTGAGACAACTGGTCACGGTGGTGAACTTCTCAACTCACAGTTTCTGTCTGACGGTAAAGAGAATCGAGTGTCTTTCCTCCCCATTCTTCGAAACATCAAGTTTCTTGCTCGACAAGGGCTGCCTCTCCGAGGAGCATCGCAAGATGGAGGTGAAGTAGATAGTGAAGTAGACCTCAGCAAGTCATTGCAGTCGGCCAGTAGATCGCAATTTCCACCAGCTCCTGACCGTCTTCAGCGAATTCCAACCGTCACTACAGAAGTGGCTAGAGAAGAAGAAGGGAAAATACACGAGTGCCGATATGCAGAACGAAAGGTAGAAGGTGATGGCACTCCAGATCCTCCGTGGACTTGCACTCAGTATCGGCAAAAGTAAGTTCGCCATCTGGTGGATGACTCCAGCTGTACGGAGCAGTCAGCGTAATCAAGGATGCCCTGTTGAGGATGAACCTCAAGCTGGAGTGTTGTCGAGGCCAGTGTTATGATGGTGCCTCTACCTTGAAAGGTAGCCGAACAGGAGTTGCAACCCAGATCTTGGCAGAGGAGCCCAGAGCTCTACATACTCACTGCTATGGGCATGCCCTGAATCTCGCTTCTCAGGACATGATTCATGATGTCAAGCATGTCAGGACATCACATTTGAGTTCAGCAATCTCTGCGAAGCATACTGCTGAATACAAGCGCCTGAAAGCTGAGCTTGCACCAGAACAACCTGGATTCCGCACCTGGTGTTCGACCAGTTGGACAGTTCGAGCTGCATCTCTGAAGAGCATCCAGACTAACTACAGCGTCCTTCAACAGTGCCTGAAGTCATGTACCGAGCTTGGAAAGAACGATAAGGAGATGTCAGCAAAGTGCAATGGTGTGAGGAGTCAATTGTCAAATTTTGACTTCCTCTTCGGTGTCTTTCTCGGTGCAACAGTTCTATCTCTTGCTGATAACCTCGGCAAGTCATTGCAGTCTACCACCTTGTCTGCAAAGTGAAGGCCAAGCTATTGCAAACGCTACTGTTGACACTCTCCTGCTTCTCCGTACTGACAGTAGTTTTGAGGCTTTCTGGTCGAACGTGATGGAGCTGCAGTAGTCAAATGACGTGCTTGAACCTCAACTACCGAGAAAGAGGAAGGTACCAGCAAGGCTCCAAGAAGGTACCGGTGCTCCCTCATTCCCTGCCACAGTCGAGGCCTACAATTGCCCTGTGTACTTTGCTGCAGTTGACACAGTTGTGCAAGCCATCCGTCAGCGGTTTGACCAGGAAGGCGATTGCAAATACCGGAATTTTGAAGCAATTGCCTCACTGTACAAGAATGACATCCAGACGGATCTCGTTCATGACCAGCTGCCAGTCCTTCATGCGCATTGCGTTGCTGAAGGTGATGGTGCACCGACCGTGCTGAGTGTTGTGTCTTACGTGCAGTCTTTGTCAAGTCGTCAGTTCTTCTTGTCAGAAGTGTGTGTAAAAGCGGACTCGGTTCGGGTTACATATGTTGAGTTCGAAACAGGACGACTGACGACACATTATCCAGACATTACGACGGGAACAGGTAGGTTGGTGGAACGACATTTATTAGAGACGGGACAAGAGACCAAGACGAACGAAACGACTACATGGTGATTATTGACGAGTGAGAAAAGAGAGGAAGAGATCAAGCCTGAACGGCAAGATAAAGGGCCTGGGTAGCGATGGCAAATATGGGCGCGCAAGTAGCTACCCAGGCCAACGGAGCAAAAGGAGACAAAAGGTGAGTACGTAAGTGCATGCAGGCCAGCTAGAAAAGGTACGGGAGGAGGTACCTAACATACCACCCCTCCATGAAAAAAATCCCGCATCCTCGCGGAGAGAAAAAAAAGAGAGAAAAATATTTAAAAAAAATGACTGAAGGGGAAAAACACACACACACACACACAACGCACGGGCCTCACAAAAGTGTGTACTAAAAAATGCACTACAGATCATTACAACCGTCAACGTTCCTGTACTACTCATACCATAGTGTGTACATTGCCAATAACAACGGCCCAAACGCCCCTTCAAAACATGGCACAAAAATAACTATTGGAGTTCGACGAGGGACTTGGATTGTATTCTGATGACTAGTATTTTGCACGGCTAATAGAGCCTAGTTACACTTTAATATACGACATAAATAAGAGAGCGTGGCTCACCATGATTGGACCCCTAATATTAATGAAGGACACCCGCGCGCACACACACTACAAAAAAATTCACGGAAATAAATTTGACGAAGAAGAAACGCATACAAAAAAAGAGAAAGAGAGAAAGGTAGCTGACCTGCATGGCTTGAACGACACGAGGTTGACATAGACGAGACGAGGTTGGCGTAGGAGAGACGAGGTTGATAGAGACGAGATGAGGTTGGCGTAGGAGAGACGAGACTGACATGGACGAGACGAGGTTGACATAGACGAGACGAATGGCGGTTGAGGACGGCTGGGCATGGGATGATCTCAGGGTCGTGGGTCGATCAATAATCGGGCGCCAATGTTGAGTTCGAAACAGGACGACTGACGACACATTGTCCAGACATTACGACGGGAACAGGTAGGTTGGTGGAACGACATTTATTAGAGACGGGACAAGAGACCAAGACGAACGAAACGACTACATGGTGATTATTGACGAGTGAGAAAAGAGAGGAAGAGATCAAGTCTGAACGGCAAGATAAAGGGCCTGGGTAGCGATGGCAAATATGGGCGCGCAAGTAGCTACCCAGGCCAATGGAACAAAAGGAGACAAAAGGTGAGTGCGAAAGTGCATGCAGGCCAGCTAGAAAGGTACGGGAGGAGGTACCTAACACATGTATAATTATTATTACAGTAAAACCTGTAACTAAAGACCACCGTGACTAGCGACCAGCCTGGTACTACCGACCACTTCGCCAGGCACGGACAGTCTCCTATTCGAAATTCACTGTGACTAGCGACTACCTGCTGACCGCGACCAGCGACCGCCTTTTCTTGTCCCAAAGACGATTTTTGACCCGTAACTAGCGACCGCGATGTTGGAACTCAAATGTTGCTCGAAGCTCCTTCTTGAAATTTTGATGATGTTCCGTGGTGCTGAAAGTAATCTTTCGATACCACAGCTGAAGAAATGAACGCAGGTCATTTTGACTGTGGAGTCGGTGTGGACTGCACTACACCTGTCAGAATTTCAAGCGCTGTCAAGAATAAACATGATAGGAAACATCTTGGAGAGTGCATCGAAAGCGCTCTCTGATTGTCATTTTTGTTACTACTCGGAGGAGGAACGAAGACTGAGCAGCTCTGTCACCCCAGTCATACAGACGAATTGACGATGGCATCAAGGAATCCAGAAACAAAGCAGCACAGCAAGGTCCTGATGCTGAAAGATCGCGTTCAAGCAATCGAGAAGTCGCAACAAGGACAGTCGGTACGATTAATCGCATGAACAAATTTGAAGCCCAGCGCAAAACGAAACTTCCACAGGGAACATTTGACTCCTAGATCCTAGAATGGGATCCATATATGGTCGCACGGTGCAAACCTCTAACTAAAGACCACCTGCTACTAAAGACTGCTTTTGCTGGCACCAAGGGGCGGTCGGTAGTCACAGGTTT